TGAGGGAGAGGGAAAGAATGTGTGCACTGGTGATCCACATGGTGATTCCCGGACCATCCACGGGCTGGATCCAGAAAGCAATTAGGCCTGATCCACCCCACGGACCTTAGTTTGCCCATCCATGGCTTAGAACAGCATGTGATGGCTGATGGGAGATGTAGTCCAAAACATCTAGAGGGCACCAAGTTGGGGAAGGTGATTTAGAAGAAGTTGTAGCTACTGCTTCTTCTTTCCTTTCTGGGCAAGATGGGACCACCGTGGTGACAGCTGGAGAAGGGAAGGAGGGAAGAAGAGGCCACCACTGGGAGCTGGACGATGACAGCTCACCCAGGCTGCTCCTTCTTTTCCATTCCCCGCAGGGCAGGTTCAACAGGTACGGCTGACTTCTCACAGATCTGCATCTTTTGCTTTGACATCGCCCTGCCCGGCTCCCCTCAATTATTTCTGATTTCTGCTTGCCTTCCCAAATCAGTCTCAGGAGAGGAGAGGAAAACGGAAAGAGATTTAGGTGGGTGGGGCTGGGGGATTTGTTCCTCCAGACCCTCTTGCCCCAGAAATTACCAGCAGTGATTACCTGGCCACAGAAAAATTAAAGAAATGGTGGGGGGGAGGTAACACAGTATGTGCATGCCATAAACACATGTGAAGCAAACAGCCAGAGCAGAAATTGACTCTGCACATCTGCTACTGAGATATTAGTGCTAGTAATACAGGGAGCACTAAGTTGAGAGCACAGGCTGCATCACTTTGAGTGATGGAAATCTGTCAGTGGCTGCGGGGACCCAGCATTGGCACCCACCTGTCTTCTCCTCCCTGCCTCCAATGCTTCTTTGATGGCATTTATTTGGTCACTGTGAGACCAGGATGCTGGACCAGATGGGCCATTGGCCTGATCCAGCCCAGGATGCTGGGCAGCCCAGGATACTGTACCGAATAGTGGACGCTCGGGTTGCGAACGTGATCTGTGCGGGATGCATGTTCGCAACCCATGCCTGCGCATGTTGCGATTCGGCGCTTCTGCGCATGCACAAAGCGCGATTTAGTGCTTGCATGCATGCGCGACCACCAAAACCCGGAAGTAACCTGTTCTGGTACTTCTGGGTTTCGGCGGTCTGCAACCCGAGAAAACGCAATCTGAAGCGTCTGTAACCCGAGCTATGACTGTACAAATACATTCCTTTTGCTTTGCCCCTCCTCTGTTTGGGAGACCAAGCTCATCTGTCCATCTCCCCAACCTGCTCTTCCCCGACCCCCTCTTGTGCTTGAATCCTGTTTGACGGCTTCCCACGTGGCCACAGCGAGAACACGATGCTGGACTAGATTGGCCACTGGCCTGATCCAGCAGGCTCTTCTTACTTTCTTATATTAAGAATCAATCCCTACGAAAGCGAAGGCAGCTTCTGTCGCTGATGCTTGCCAACGCTTTGCATGAAACCTGGCTTGGCTCTACTTGCAAGAAGTTTAAATAGCCAGAAGTAATTACATATACTGCAAACTCAATTGGTTTTCTGCCTGCCGCTCTCCTTCTCCCCCGCCCCGCAGCCCTCCTGTTAAGGCTCAAGTTTTGTTCAGCAAGTTTCATCCCCAAACAAAGCAAACCATTAGGGTTAAAGCGTTAACTGTGGATTCTAACAAACATGCTGACAGATCTTTAACTTTAGTGGCACACCAGCAGCTATAATTCTCCATATTGATTAATTTAGTTAGTTAAACCTGCAATCTAAGCTTATAACCCATTCAGTGATAAATTGAGACTGACCTGCTGCCCAAGCAGGTTTCGTGGATGAAGAATAGGATTGGGTTTAGGTCTCCCACAGAAATACTTGTCCATTTACCATTTTCAATTAGAGAAGCCCATGAGTAAGGGAAAGCAAAACAGGGCTCTTTAACCTGGTCAATTATACTAACACGCTGCACCAAAAGGGGCGTTGGGGGATGTGTGAGAAGGGAGAAAGAAAAAGCACACTCAAAGAGAAGGGAAAGAAGATTCGGGAAGAGCAGGCACCACACCGGACAATCATTTATTGTTGTTGTTATTATTATTTAGCACAAGATGTAGAAAGGTCTGAAACCAAATTAAACACAAGAACGTAGCTGGACAGGGTAGCAGGCCATGAGGTTCATCAGCTGGGCTCTGAATTCCTCCAGCTCTCTCTCCCCCTGGCCGAGAAAGTAGGAATGGGTTCAAGGGTGAGACAGAAGTTCTGTGCTGAACTTTTACCTGCTACGAAGCAAAAACCAAAAACAAACCTCTCTCTTTCATCATCAGCACCAGTACCAGAGTAATCTACCCAGCCAGGAGAAGACGGTGGAGAAAAGTTCTGTGTCCTGTCCACATATTTTTTCAGGACTGGAGCATAGTGCGTTCCCTCTCCTGATGGGGGATGACCCAAGGTGGACAGACAAAAGGAGAAAAGCACACTGGTACTCAAGACCCCAGAAGGATCCTGCCTACGCAGCCTACCTATATATGGGCAGACATTAGGAGCTACGGTGACATATTTTGTGTTGAAATGAACGTTTCAAATCTAGCACAGTCTCCTAGTCTACAGCAGGGGTCTGGAATGCCACATTTGGCCCACCTGGCCATTTTCGCCATGCTAGGGAATGCTGTGACTGGGCCCAAAAGGGGTTGCAGAGCCCCTTGCAAGGTGCTTTGAAGACCCAGCTATCAGCAGGTGTGGGGGGCTTCAAATTGCAGCGTTGGGCTTTCTGCAAGCACCAAGAATCGGCTGGTTGTCAGCACTTCAAGAAAGCTTTGCACAGCTGAAACCCGGGCAAGCTACATCCAGATTGTCAAGCAGGCATCACATCAGGGAAGTTTTTCAGAAAATGAATGGCCACAATGGATCCTGATACAAGCATGAAAAGAGAGCCAATCCATGAACAGTCAAGGACTAGGGGGACTCCCTCACTATATTATTCAGTTTGGCACCAATGTATGCAGCCAAAAGGGACAAATCGGAAAGTGTTCCAAGCCTACAGGGCTCTTTGGATCTAGGTTGGTGAAATAACCTTTTGTATTGTTCATAAAGGAAGGAGTTGCGAATTCTCCAGAAGATTCTTACCCTTTCAATCACCCTCTTGATCAAAGAAAAAGTAAGTTTCTGTTATACAAGTTTGTCAGTCAGAGCCTTTAAAAAGGTAAAGGTAAAGGTACCCCTGCCCGTACGGGCCAGTCTTGACAGACTCTGGGGTTGTGCGCCTATCTCACTTAAGAGGCCAGGGGCCAGCGCTGTCCGGAGACACTTCCGGGTCACGTGGCCAGCGTGACAAAGCTGCATCTGGCGAGCCAGCGCAGCACACGGAAACGCCGTTTACCTTCCCGCTAGTAAGCGGTCCCTATTTATCTACTTGCACCCGAAGGTGCTTTCGAACTGCTAGGTTGGCAGGCGCTGGGACCGAACAATGGGAGCGCACCCTGCCGTGGGGATTCGAACCGCCGACCTTTCGATCGGCAAGCCCTAGGCGCTGAGGCTTTTACCCACAGCGCCACCCCCTACTCCCAAAATGCTTGAACACTCAACCATTCTGTGCAAACACTGGATGGGATGATTGAACGGGTAGAGACATTCCACTACTGAACCCCTTTACAATCTATGTTAACATGCTCTGTTTTAAGTCTTCTTTCACAAGACAGAATCCAGCAATATGCAAAGTCAATAGGCTGCACATTAAAAACACTAACAGGGAAGCTGATTTTATAAAGGCGAGGGGGATTTTCAGATACTACAAAACTTGAATCCATTTTGGCCTAACGAAAGGCCCAGCACAGTATGGTTTAAAAACGGGCTGTGGAACAGTTGCTTGCATTTTGAGTTCCTGAACTCTCCCAGTAGTTAGGTTTTTCAAGCCTGCACCTTGAGAGAACAGGTGGTTCGCAATGGTGTTGCCACATGTGTGGAACTCCTTGACATGTATCAATTCAATTGACCCTTAGGAACCAGGTTACACACCCCTGGACTACCTTGTCAGCCATAAGCAGAGTCCAGTGTTACATGTGCAACAATGCTAAACAGGATTTGAAACCAGGGTTTGAAATAGCCGTTCAAATCCCAGTCTAGGAGGAAAGACAGTTGGGTTGGGCAGATGTACTGGCGAGGCATGATTTAAAACTGGCAAGTAATTTATGTCCAAAGAGAAAGTGAAGGATGGAGCACCAACTCCCTAGTCTGTTTCCAGTTTTGCAAAGAGGCAGCATAACGTAGCAAACACACACACTGGGTCAAAGGGTCCCTGCTCCAAACTGGAAGTGCCCACGTCTCTTGCCATCAGCAGCCCCCATTTTAAGCTGACCATTTGATGTCCAAAGCTAGGATTCGTTTTCAAACCAGGCTGAGATTTTCATATAATACATTCTCAGCGTTGAGAAGACCAAAGTAAAGGCAATTGCTGTTATTAACCTTATTAGCCCAGAAGAAAAACAACTCTGCTTTTATCCTTCTGTAGTTCTTCACAAGAGCAATATTGCCATTTAAGGTTTCTGAAGGTGACTTATCAGAACTGCTGACTTAATGTGATTTTGTTGCTTGCCGTTAAACAGCAAAATAACATTTGTATAAAATGGCTTAAAAGAAACACATCATGATAAAATGTGGTGCAATTTGGTGGAAGCGAGGGCAATGGCACTGGGAGGATTAAAAAACTTAAAGTGGACTTTGAAGGGAAAGAAAGGTCTAAACACAGTGAACACCATCCCTTTAAATTATTTACAAATGTATTAAATGTGTCAGGACTTATAACTTAAAAATACTTCCCCCCTCTCAGGCTCTAAGTAAAAATTAAAGCATTAGAACTTGGCATATTCCTGCATTTCTTATTCTAACAAGCAATTTAAGGCTTACTATAAATGTCACAGGATATGGCAGTTCTAAGTTTATATTATCCAGCTTGAGCAAAACATGAAATATCACAGAAACTCAGCTGCTTCCCCTCGTATCTGGGCGAATTTGATGGTTGCGTCTGAAGAATCTTAAACCAGAGATTACCAGTCATCTTACCGTGAGGTGTCATGCTGGATTGGGGAGGTGGCTGCAGTTACAAGCTCTTTTCTGCTGCCTGTCAGTCCGGGGGATGTAGCCGCATCCTTCCGGGAGGCTGAACTCATCCCTGCAGAACACGGTGGAAGACAATTACGATGGGCATTAGAGGCCGAAAAAGTTTTGGACAGCCTTTCTTGCATTATTTCAGAACGCAGGGCCCAAGTGCCGCGCTATTCCGCAGGGAACTTTCTATATGGTGAATCGGCAGCCAAAGGAGTCGTTACTCTTGACAGGTATGGAGTGGAATATATATTTTCAGGGCCGCCTGGAGTCATAATTGCATAATACACTGCCCACAACAGACTTTGTGTCAGCGCTGTGGTTTTAGCAAGTGACGGGTTCCCATCCCCTAGTGATCATCCGGCCAATCCTCGCAAACGTCACCCCCAGATCACCAGCATTCTCCGGAAACCAGTGGAGAATTCTCAGTCCTATTTTAAATATGCACAGTTATTCTCAAAAGCACAAAGAATTGTCTCCTCTACATTCTGCTTTAATTCAGAGGCAGACTCATTTCTTTTGCAATGCCAAAGACTCGTATTAGTTGGACATCTGCAGCGTAGAAACCAATCTTGAAATCAACCCACAGGGAAAATGAATGGAGGAAAGGGCCACTTTCTTTGAGAAGCATATTCTGTATATAGAAGACCAGAAGACATTCGGATATGTTCACAAAGCACATATAGAAAACATGTGAAATAAGGCAATAACTTGCCTAGAAATGGGTCTGAAAGAGATGTTTTCTCTGGGAACCAGGTTTGTACATACTTAATTTGGATGCTTTAATTAAGAGCTGTGGTAAAGGTAAAGGGACCCCTGACCATTAGGTCCAGTCGTGACCAACTCTGGGGTTGCGGCACTCATCTCGCTTTAGTGGCCGAATGAGCTGGCGTACAGCTTCCGGGTCATGTGGCCAGCATGACTAAGCTGCTTCTGGCGAACCAGAGCAGCGCACAGAAACGCCGTTTACCTTCCTGCTGGAGCGGTACCTATTTATCTACTTGCACTTTGACGTGCTTTTGAACTGCTAGGTTGGCAGAAGCTGGGACCGAGTAACGGGAGCTCACCCCATCGCGGTGATTCAAACCGCCGACCTTCTGACTGGCAAGTCCTAGGCTCTGTGGTTTAACCCACAGCGCCACCTGGGTCCAAGAGCTGTGGTAAATTACAGTAAAAGCTGGGCTCTTGGGAGAGGGAATGAACGAAAAGGGCCTTGCTCAGTACTAGCTGGAGATGTTCAGGATTGGACCTTCTTCAGGGTCACCCCCCCTTTTTTTGGGAGGGGGAGGAGAGGCCAGAATTATTTCCCTTATTAGTAAGATTGTGGGGAAGACTGAGCACATTTTTTTGCATGCAGAATGTCCAAAGTCAATCCCTGGTATTTTTCTAAGTAGGGTGAGGAAAAGGTCCTGGCCAAAGCTGTCCAGAGTTTCAGATGTAAATGTAAATACTGATCTAGGCGGAACAATGGTCTGCCTCAGAATTACACAGTTTCTTATGGTTTGTGGACCAGCTGTCTTTGACATTCGCAGTGCTGTTATCAATAGTTGGTGGAGTTCCCGAGGCAACTACAATGACTTGGAAGAGAGTTAAGCTAGGCATCAAGGGATTGAAGTTATTTCATTTTAATAGTTTGATTATAATCTCCAGATGACAACTCTAGGACAATACTCTCTAAAGCAATGGTTTCTAATTGGGGGTCCATGTAACCCACCCGGGGGGGGGGGCTGCAGCAACATTCACATAACGAATACTTCAAAAGAGATACGAATTTTTTCAAAAGTAGGGTGTCTGTGGGTTGGCTTTTGAAAAACAGGGGGCTTGCATTAAAGAGCTAATTGGAAACTGCTCTAAAGCATAATTGTGCAAACCCTTTCTCCTGTTGCTTCTGGTTATGATGTTTAAACTTGATTTTGAAGCTGATTGCCACAATAGAGGACCAAGAAAGGAAACACCTCAGCCTAACTTTAACCTAAAAAGCTTTCATGCAAAGCCATCCTAGAAATAAATAAGAGTACCTAGTTTTCTGGTCATGCAATGTGCTGCAACAGATAAATGTAAACAGCATCCACAAATATAAAGGAGCTGGACCAGTTCCATCATTTGCAAATGATTCCCCTTTAAGGAGGGTGCAAAGGCATTGCATTATACTGGCAAAGTGGTCTTGCTGTTTGGGAGTGCCTTATGAGACTGGCATTTTGTTTGTTTTAGCAAAAACTGGTGGGCAGCCAACACATAGGAATGTTTAAAGTAGGCTTTGATGTCCTACTCCTGTAGACAGTGCAGGAAATGGGACTTTCTACTAAAGTGGCTGGTTCCACGTGGTAGTGGCAAGAGTAAAGTGGTCACCAAAGTGTGCAAACTGCCCCTTAGAGGGTGGTGGGATGACCTAGGGGGTGCTATGGAGGTAAAGGGGCAGCAGGGGGTGTTAGGAAGCAAAGCTGTCACGGGGGGGGGGGCAATGGGGCGCTGGAACAGTAAATGACCAGACTTTGAAAAGCTGGTGTTACTGAATTAAGTTCATCATTTTAAAAAATTAATTAAACTAAATAGTTTTAATTGGATTTTGAATAAATGTGCAATTAATTGTTAACATTTTGAATTTTACTGCGTTATTATCTTCCTTGGTGGGTCGTGCAAACAGCTATTCTGAATAATGCCTTTTATAGTGTGAGGAAGGGGGCACAGGGGATGAGATTATGGAAGCACAGGAGCAGTGGCCAAGAAAGCTCAGGGATTTCTGCTCTAGTAAATTAAAGGAGCCCTGGTCTACTAAGCACACGCAGCCCGAGGAGGACAAACAGCCAGCGGTTTAATCCTTTACTGACAAAGCGTTCACTTACAGTAGCTTCTAAGGTGTACAGAACATGCAGAAACACTTCTGGAGACTTAAGAAGCTGGCATAATGTCCCCAGGCTGGTGCTCTGAGCAGCAGCGTGACCACGCCTCTACCCAAAATTAAGTACAGTGGTGCCCTGCAAGACGAATGCCTCACAAGACGGGAAACCCGCTAGACGAAAGGGTTTTCCGTTTTGGAGGTGCTTCGCAAAACGAATTTCCTATGGGCTTGCTTCGCAAGATGAAAATGTCTTGCGAGTTCCTGCAGGGTTCCCCCCCCTTTTTCCCAAGCCGCTAAGCCGCTTATCAGCTGATCCGCTAAGCCGCTTAACAGCTGATCCGCTAAGCCGCTTAACAGCTGATCCGCTAAGCCGCTTATCAGCTGATCCGCTAAGCCGCTAATAGCGCTAAGCTGCTAATGGGCTTGCTTCGCAAGACGAAAAAACCGCAAGACGAAGAGACTCGCGGAACGGATTCTTTTCATCTTGCGAGGCACCACTGTACCTTCGTCTGATGGAGCACGCACAAGCAACCTTCGACTTACCCTACACAGAAGCTGCCACTGTGCCTGTCTTTTTAAGCCCGTCCTGGTCCTGGGAGTATAGCAGGGAAGGGGATTCTTTCTACTGGACCCCCATCTCAGGCACTGCCTCCTCCTCCAGCCCTGGCTCCTGTCTCATGGGAGGCACAAAACCCCATAAATCGCTGCTCCCTTCCTGTGGATCAGCCTTGGGTCCCGCGGCCTCCGCCACACAAACCTCGGAGACCTGCTAGCCCCGGGCATCTGGGGAGACCCAACCAAGTTCTTCAGAAATTGAGAGAAGCTGTGCAACTGCAGTGCCCTGTGCTCTGAGCCCAGAGCCTTCAATGGCCCGTATCCTAATGCAGGTGAGGGAGGCAATCTGTTAATTACTACAAATCACTTGACTGCCAAGCCAGCGCTTATCAGCCTGTAATTTCCCCCCACCAAATTGCTAAAAAAAAGAGAGAAAAACCTGCAGGGAAACAAAGAGGGGAGCATGGAGATCCAGAGGACAGGGTCAAACTACTCAAGGCGTTTTTCATTCCTGGGGAAGCCCACAGAAAAGTCCAAAGAACAATGGGAGAAGTGGGCATCAATTCTATTATGAGGCATTTAAAGGAAGGAGGGGAGGGTGGGAAAAAGAAAGAAATGAAATAATGATGGTTTAAAAAAAGGAAAGGAAAGGAAAAGGGAAAAAAGGGCAAAAGAAAAAAGAAAAAAAGAAATCCATCAGTGAAAATTGCCCCTGAAAACTTCACAGAATTGTAACGGCTTTCTCTCGCTTAAATTGATTGGTGTAGCAACGTTATGAGATGACTATTAGAATTCATTGCGCGCCACAGAAAGAGCTGAAATGTCAGCAGACTATACAGCAAAAGTAATGGGTCCTGAACTCCTGTTAGTCAAAAATGATTTTGTTTCAAATTAGAAATTGATTTCTTTTGGACACAAGCCCTTTGCCGGCTTCCAACTTTTGTAGCTGAGCCTTGGAAGAGATTAACCTCACCCTCTGTTCGGGTCCCCCTCTGATGATACCCTTTCAAAAGTTTCTTCGCCGCGAATGCTTTTTTAATGCGGACGCGGTCTTAACCAATAACACAGGTTGTTTGTTCCTAGGAGAGCTGCACCACATTCTGCCTTTCTTTTTATTTTTCTGCTGACACAAATCGCAAACTCGTTGACAAGTTTAAAAGGAAAGGAAAGGAGAGAGAGAGAGAAGGGGGGGAGGAGGGGCAAAGCCAGCTCATAAGCGAAGCAAAGATTATGTTAGGCTCTGCAGCCAAGCACAAGACTGCTCCAATTTCTTTCCCCTTTGCTTCGAGAGAAAGAGTGCTTTGGCCCACTCCTTAAGTGGACACACTAAGTGAAGAGCAGAACAGATGCGGGCTATAAAGGAGTCCTTGGGCTAGAAAATTCTGAGTTTCCGGCGGTAGAGGGAGATTGCACCATGAAAAGTCAGACATGCACACCGATTTCTTTTTGCTGGAAATTAAAGCAAATCTCCCATCCCCATCAGGCAACCATTTTCTGTGCTTTTGTACTACTGGGCTGGCATGGCAACTATTAAGTTTTCAATCAGATTCCTTCCTGCCCTATCTCAAGGGCTCAGGGAAGGATACATGCTATTCCTAATACCTATTTATTTCATTTATGAATTGCTTCCTATGGAGAGGGTCATGGGTTCATTGGGAAGAGGATTTCTGCGCTGCAGGGGGTTGGACTAGTTGACTCTCACGGCCCCTATAATTCTGTGATTCTATTTCGGAGCTATTTCACAATCAAGAACATGGATGATAATAACACCCACAATAAAATATATATTAACTATTTTGTATATAGATTCATGGAAAGCTCAGCTGGTAAGAGCATGGTGCTGATAACACCAAGGTTGCAGGTTCGATCCCCGTAAGGGACAGCTGCATTGCAGGGGGTTGGACTAGATGACCCTCAGGGTCCCTTCCAATTCTATGATCCCAAAACCATTAACACGATTTCATGTGTAAAAACAACTGAGACAATTTCAAATGACTTTTGTGTTGATGTGTGCATTTTATGAATTGTTGTGTACTACTGAGGATGAAGGGAGGGATATAAATAAAAACTAATAATGACGATCTCTCTTAATTTTACCCTGACATTCACCTGTGCAGAAGAATGATATCAAAAAGTAGATTAAGGCTCACTCTGAGATTACTGGGCCACCTGCAGAGAAGACTGACTCAGAAGCTCTTAACGTTTATGACGTAACTGAACTGTTAGTTAAAAGATAGCAAAGGAAGGAAGCACAGCAAAACAATTTAGTTATGGAAGCCACAAGTAAAAGCTGGGCAAGCTCAGGATTGAGGGACATTAAGAAGGAAAGTTTAACACTCGCTTAGCCATGGCTGTGGCAAGAAATCACCTATCTGAACCTGCTTTGTTTTTGGCATTTCAAGAGAACACTCCCCACGGCAGCTATTTACAGAAGCTGTGCATGTTAAATGCACTCACACAGAGAACAATTTGACTGTGCCAACCCAGCCACGGGCATGGCAAATCTGGGGTGTCAGGTGGCAAGTGGCACTCGCCCTGGGAAAAAACCTCGCCCTGAAAAAAACTCGCCCTGAAAAAAAACCAGGTGGCACTCGCCCTGGAAAAAAACCTCCTATCCAGTGGGAGGAGCATCTTCATAGAATCATAGAATCATAGAGTTGGAATAGACCACAAGGGCCATCGAGTCCAACCCCCTGCCAAGCAGGAAACACCATCAGAGCACTCCTGACATATGGTTGTCAAGCCTCTGCTTAAAGACCTCCAAAGAAGGAGACTCCACCACACTCCTTGGCAGCAAATTCCACTGTCAAACAGCTCTTACTGTCAGGAAGTTCTTCCTAATGTTTAGGTGGAATCTTCTTTCTTGTAGTTTGGATCCATTGCTCCGTGTCCGCTTCTCTGGAGCAGCAGAAAACAACCTTTCTCCCTCCTCTATATGACATCCTTTTATATATTTGAACATGGCTATCATATCACCCCTTAACCTCCTCTTCTCCAGGCTAAACATGCCCAGCTCCCTTAGCCGTTCCTCATAAGGCATCGTTTCCAGGCCTTTGACCATTTTGGTTGCCCTCCTCTGGACACGTTCCAGTTTGTCAGTGTCCTTCTTGAACTGTGGTGCCCAGAACTGGACACAGTACTGCAGGTGAGGTCTGACCAGACCAGAAACTTAATGTTAACTTAATGTCCTACAGTCCACTCTGGCAAATGTTACGCTCACTCAATGGATGCGGTGGGTGAATGCTTATTAACAGAATAATAATCTTCTAAGTTACTACATGGTGTTACGATATGAGAACAACGCAGCTGCAAACAGCCAGCTTGTTGACATCATGTGATTTGACTAGCTGTGGGAAAGAATCTTCCCGGAAGTTCACAGGCTTCACAAAGCTGTGTTCAGTGTGTAATATGAGACCTTCCTGTTGCGTTTGTGAAGGAAGTCTTCTGTACTTGCTGGAAGGAGACTGAAGTGATTGGACATGTTTTCTTGTAGAGTTGTATGGTCAGAAATAAACATGATGTAAAAGGACTTTCTGACTATTCTTCTTTCCCCTGCGAAGGGGGAGAAGGGAGTGTGCATTTTCCACGCTGGGGAATGTCGCCTATCAAGATCTCCCTGGTCTGTCTGGGATGCCAGCCAGAGGCAGATCACCGGTAAACAAGCTCTGGGAGCAGGGAGAGGGGCCAGCCTCTCCCGATGGGGCTAGTTTTCCAACACATGGAACCTGGAACTTCATGTTGAAGACATCACATGGGGGCTCTGCATCCTTTATCTCTTACATGGGTCAACTGAGGAATGGAAGATGGTGAAGTTTAAAACAGCTAAGTTTTTTCGTTCAGTGTCTCTACCTTTTCGCTGTGCTCATACATTGGCAGAAGTCTGAGTAAAGCAGGAATGGAGAGGCACTGAGAACTGTTTCAAAAAAAACCATCAAACAAGCCAGTTTTAACAAGGAGAAATAGCACAGATGAGTATAGGACTGAAGTTAACACCAAAAAGCTAACACAACAGAGCTTTTTCCAAATCCCTTCTCGCTGTACTGAAGCCTTATTTTTTAAAATGCAACTCTTCTCAAACACCTGTCCATTGTTTAAAATCACCGATTCCTCCCTCCATGCCTGCTTTATTCAAACCTCTGCTGTTATTTAAAACCATTATTTACCTATCCTGTTGTGCAGCTCCCTCTGTTTTTTCTCCCCTCCCATGCCCTACTTCAAGCAAATCCAGGATTGGGATGCAGCACTAAAAAATCCTGCATGATGACAGCCTTACATTTCTATGTGTATAGGAAGATATGTTGTATGTACATGTTATTTTGTAATCTGCTTAAGATACTGTTTCAATTATGAAACTGCATGTGAATATACAGTGGTACCTCACAAGACGAATGCCTCGCAAGACGAAAAACTTGCAAGACGAAAGGGTTTTTGGTTTTTTGAGTTGCTTCGCAAGACGATTTTCCCTATGGGCTTGCTTCGCAAGACGGAAACGTCTTGCAAGTTTGTTTCCTTTTTCTTAAAACCGTTAATACAGTTGCGACTTGACTTCAAGGAGCAACTCATAGCACGCGGTGTGGTAGCCTTTTTTGAGGTTTTTGAAGACTTTGGTGATTTTTGAAGCTTTTCCAAAACTTTTCCGAAACCGTGCTTCGCAAGACGAAAATATCGCAAGACGAAAAAACTCGCGGAACGAATTAATTTCGTCTTGCGAGGCACCACTGTATTAAATAAATAATACAGCACAGGAAGGTGCAGGACTTGGCCTTTGGGGATATCGGGGTGCACCTCACCTCTTCTTGGTCTGATAGTCTCCTTCTTTGTGTGCACTCCAAAGCATTCACCGTCTGCATGGGCACTGAAGCCAACACTTTTCTTCCCTCCGCTGCTTCCTGGTGTGTTGCAGCCTCTCCCAGAAGCTGACGTTTTTGAAAGGCAATCTTCACAGCTGAGCTTCGGAGAACTGGAAGAGGGGGAAAGAATACAGGTGTCACATTTCGGTCTCCCTCACTCTCTTTCAAGCTAACAGTATATTAGCATATAAAAGCATTAAAATATATCTGACCCACCAAAACAGCTCCCTTATCTTCCAGACAAAAGAAGTGCCACAAGACCAAAAAAATTTACTTGTACACACTCTTGAATACCTGGATGCTATTTTTACCTTCCAGAGGCAACCAGGTGAATGGCTACGTGCAGGCCTATTCAAAGTACTTAGCTCCTGTTATTTATTTATTTATTTATTTATTTATTTATTTATTGTTATTATTATTTTTTTGAGGGGGGCTATTTTGTACTCCTGCAAGCCTTTGGGTTCCTGTGAGCATGCTGATAGCTCCCCTCTTTTTTTCTCAGTGACCTTGTTTTGGTGACAAACCCATCAACAGTCAGTGGCTAAGTTCACTATTAGAAGGAGAGACAAGACTTCAAGATCATACTGCTGGAACGTACCATGTAGACCAACACCTGCCCTAACCTCAGGTGTGATGCACAGGAATAATGAGTATGCCCCCCCCCGAGATTACTCTAAGATATGGGCCTGAATAGGGACGCGGGTGGCGCTGTGGGTAAAACCTCAGCGCCTAGGACTTGCCGATCGCATGGTCGGCGGTTCGAATCCCTGCGGCGGGGTGAGCTCCCATCTTTCGGTCCCAGCTCCTGCCCACCTAGCAGTTCAAAAGCACCCTTAAGTGCAAGTAGATAAATAGGGACCGCTTACCAGCGGGAAGGTAAACGGCGTTTCTGTGTGCTGCGCTGGTGCCGGCTCGCCAGAGCAGCGATGTCACACTGGCCACGTGACCCGGATGTGTCTGCGGACAGCGCTGGCCCCCGGCCTCTTAAGTGAGATGAGCGCACAACCCTAGAGTCAGACACGACTGGCCCGTACGGGCAGGGGTACCTTTACCTTTATGGGCCTGAATAGGTATCCCAGTTGTCTCCTGGGAAAACGTTAAAAGCGTTTCCAGTGCAATGGAAAGATTGGAGGAGCTCTCTTTCACCCAGGAGTTTCAGCACAATTAGCATCGTTTAAAAGATATTTAAGAAGCCAGTCGTTATTTGGGCGCCTTCTGGGTTTCCAGGGTAAAGATTTAATTAGAATTGATAGCCCTGTTTTCTGAAGAGGGTGACCTTTGACTTGCAAAATTAGTGGGAGGAAGTTACTTTGCTGGAACACTCAAATGGCTTCTCTTGACAAGCCAAGGTTACCTCTAGTATGGAATATTACTTTCAGGGTTGAGTAGCACTGCAAGTGCCAGAGAGAGGGAAAAAATTAAATTGCTAATTTTAAAGGACAGGATGGAAAAGAAATAAAAAAAATGTACAGCATAGCAAGCTCTGCTAACAAGGCCTTGGGGTCTGACCCTTCAGCTCTTAATGCAAGTGAAAGCCTGAAAAGACCAGGAGTTAAGAAAGAGAAGGATTAATATTGAGTAAGGATTTCAAGGGCGTCAACGCTGTAATGCCTCAGAACGAGAAGAAGTTTTTTGCTGAAACAGTAGGCTGATGAAAGCTCTTTCAACACAGCCACCAGCCTTTTCCAATCTAGGTTATGCTTCGACTGGAACAGAGTCAGGCCACGTTTCCACCCCATCCAGTTAGCAGTGAAGGGTGTCTATCACTTTGAGGAATCCTTTGGTCAGTTTTATTTTCCCACCTCTCTCCTTTCTTTCAAGCACCTCTTTTTCCACGTGAGCTTTGGCTCATCCTCCAAATTATCAGTCCCGAATGAAACCAATCAAAGGCTAAGCATGCATAACAGCATCCTTCCCTCCTTCTGTTGCACCCCACTACCAGCTTAGCTTGCAAGGAGATGGAGGGGGGCATTTTCCCCCCCATGCGTAATTTTGTCAGGTGCCAGGCACCTGAAGGAACTTACTCAGTTGTATACATCCTATCTCTCTATGCGCTCAAGGCGGCTTACAACAAAAGTAAAAAACCATAGTTTTAAACCAAATCATGCTAGCCCACCGAAAGCTGCTAGCATCACTCTTGCTCACATGTGCAGTCAGGGCTGGTCCAAGGCATTTCAGCTCCTGAGGCTGAATCAAAAAATGTGCCCCAACCACCAGGAAAGAAGAGGGAGGAGAAGTTATATTTCAGGGATAAGCGGGGTAGAAACAAGATCCACAGTGGGGGAAAGCGGGTGGGAGAAGAACAGCAGTGCCTCCTATTTACCATATTTTTCGCTCTGTAAGATGCACTTTTCCCCTGCTAAAATGTAAGGGGAAATGTGTGTGCGTCTTATGGAGCGAATGCAGGCTGCGCAGCTTTTGCTGAAGCCAGGAGAGGAAGAGGGATCGGTGCGCACTGATCCCTCTTGCTCTCCTGGCTTCAGGGATAGCCGCCTGAAGCCTCCTGAGCGCAACGGGAGCGCTCCTGCTGTGCTCAGGAGGCTTTGCGTTGCCTTTGCTGAAGCCAGGAGAGCAAGAGGGATCGATCCCTCTTGCTCTCCTGGCTTCACTTCGCTGGAGAGGCACTGCGCAGCTTTCCCTCTCTGCGCAGCGCCCCTTCAGCGAAGTGGGAGGAGAAACGGAGCCCCTTCCGTTTCTCCTCCCACTTTGCTGAAGGGGCGCTGAGCAGAGAGGGAGAGAATGTTTTTTTCTTTCTTGTTCTCCTCCTCTAGAACTAGGTGCGTCTTATGGTCGAGTGTGTCTTATAGAGCGGAAAATACGGTAATGAGAGGCTGCTGTGGAGGCTATAGGATGTGCCCTATAGCTGCCACTGGTATGGCGGCAGCAGCAGCAGGCGATTTGTTCCTTGGAGGCCAGATCTACCTGTGGATCCTGCCGCTCAAGGCAGTCGCCTCACCTTGCCTCATGGGCAGGCCAGTTCAGTAACTCAGGACTCAGCGTGAAGACAAGTGTCCAAATGCAAACATGCATATTCTAGGCTACATAACGGTGGCTAGTAGGAGTCTGAACAGCCTTGGGGCTGCGAAGGTAGTGCTAAATTTCCCCTTTCCACTCCACGTGACCCAGAATCTGCTGAGCGCCCCACCCCGGCTGCTATTTACCTAACAAAAACGATGGACGTAGAAATCCTAGAATCCTAGAAATGTAGATTTGGAAGAGACCCTAGGGGCCATCAAGTCCAACTTTCTGCAAGGCAGGAATCTTTTGTCCAACAAAAGTTGTGGCTCGAACCCACAAACCTGGCATTAAGAGTCTCATGCTTTGCCAACATTTATTACAATCACACAACTAGCATTACTGTGTCTCGTTTCGCCCCAAGTCATGCCCAGATTGCCAAAAGATTAGAATGGCCCCCTGCTCCTCCTACTCTATCCCTACTCAGGTCTACATCTTCATAGGCCTGGGAGCTTCCTATAGATTTTGAAACCACAGTATCGGTTTATTGTAGCTGGCTGAGAACACAATCTCTCTAAGGTATGTTTGACCCAGCCGCACAGTATGTTTCCTGCTCTCTATTCCAAAGAGTTGCGCTGGTTGAAGATCTCGGGGAGCTTTCTCCCAGTCAGAATATTATCTAAACACTGAGTTGCATGAACCAACCGTCTTGACAACGTAAGGGGGTTTCCTATGTTCAAAGAGGTTTCCTTTCGTAGTAGGCACATAGGTAGATTCACGGCCTTCCCTACAGCGGTTCCACTCGTGATCACTGCCAGGAAGGCATTTAACATTTCTAGTTGTAATGAAGCCGCTGAACAATATGCCAATGAGTTAAAGACACAGGGCAACCCTATGGGGAAATGCAGGAAGAGAGACTCAAATATGAAATGATTCTCCACCACCATAATATTCACCTAAACATTGTCCAAGCAAGATGGGCCACCCGGAACTTGACTTACTTTAGCTCCCCAATGCCAGGGACCCCCCCCCCCCCACTTTTGAGCTGGAGTGGGAAATTTCAAAATGCCATTCAGGACCCACCGAACACTTGCTGGGATTTGCTTTCTTTAAGAAGTACTGGGGCGGGGAGAGGGGGGCGAGAAGTGGGGGAGAAACGTTAACCTTTTGTTTTATTGAATTAAAATGCCACGGAAATGCTGATGTAGTCTTCAGAGACTAAAATACTTCTACCAAGAAGAATAGCTGTCATTTATTAGACACAAAGAACAATCGCTTGATAGGATGCTTTCTGACAAAAAGCAGATTGGCATTCTCGTCATAGAAAAAGGCATTGTGGGGGGAAGGGGGGGGGGAGAGAGAAAACCCAGCACAGACCTCTGAGACTTGAATAATTTAAAGCCGCATTTGGTGCAATTTGAATTTTTCTTTAGGGAGGCAAAGTTAAATACCTTTAATTTGTTCTAATTATTTCAAATTTGCAAGTTAATTATGGCTGATCATTAAATAACAAAAAGGACTATCATCTCCATAGAGTTTTACCTCCTACCCTCTGCATTACTTAAGCTCGATTTTAGTATGCATGAATTAACTTTCTAAATAATCGCACGGTTTGACTAAATGGCTCAGTAAAATGAGCTCTGATCCTCAGAATAAGCATTAATGGACATTAGGAAGGCTACTGGGACCCATGTTGCTTACATTATAAGTATTTTTAATGGGGTCTTATTTACTAATCTTTATATACTGCTCAAGTTAGGGCACTAATACGGCTTCATTAGTCTGCTTTAGCGGAGGGGGGAAAATGTCACTTCTTCAAAACACTAAAACCAATGTCTGCTCAGAGGTAGCTAAATTCATTTTTAAATTAAGTCAAGTCAAGTATGATGAAATTTAACTTGTTTGAGAACAGCATAGCCTGATGAATCAATTCGGCATAATGGCAGCCCTGGCCCACAGAAGGAATTTTACGGGACTAGCGATGTGCTAAGCTAACCAAGCAGTGAGAAGGATGCTTCTCTTCCCCCTGGCCACAGAGCAACACTTACCACCAACGCCCAAAAGCTCCTGCCGGGCTCCTGCTCAGCATTCAGCGCTCGGCTGGCTGCTTCCCGGCCATGAATTCTGAATTTGGAGACTCACCTTTCACTGAACC